TAGCACTGCATATGAATTTTAAAAAAAAAAAAAAATTTTTTTTTTTTTTTTTTGACAGAGTCTCACTATCACTCAGGCTCAAGTGCAGAAGAATGATCACGGCTCACTACAGCCTCAACCTTCCTGGGTTCAAGTGATCCTCCTGAGTAACTGATAACTACAAGTGTGTGCTACCACACCCAGCTAATTTTTAAATTTTGTTTTTATTTTTATTTATTATTATTAGTTTCTGAGATGGAGTCTTACTCTGTTGCCCAGGCTAGAGTGCAATGGAGCAATCTTGGCTCACCACAACCTCCGCCTCTCGGGTTCAAGCAATTCTCCTGCCTCAGCATCCTGAGTCGCTGGGATTACAGGCATGCACCACCATGCCCAGCTAATTTTTGTATTTTTAGTACAGACGGGGTTTCACCATGTTGGCCAGGCTGGTCTCAAACTCCTGACCTCATGATCTGCCCACCTTGGCCTCCCAAAATGCTGGGATTTACAAACATGAGCCACTGCTCATGGCCTTTATTTTATTTTTAGAAATGGGTCTCCCTATGTTGCCCAAGCTGGCCTTGAATTCGTGAACTCTAGTGATCCTCTTGCCTTGGCTTCCCAAAGTGTTAGAATTATAGGCATGAGCCACCATACCCACCCTTAAAAAACTTTTAAGGCAGAGGTTTCAGCTTACTAACACCTCGTTTCTAATGATGCTCTATCACTTCTCAGCCAAGATCAAGGGTAGTACCTGATGATGTTCTACCATAATACCTTTTTTTTTTTTTTTTTTTTTTCCTGAGACAGAGTCAACTCTGTAGACCAGTCTGGAGTGCAGTGACGCAATCTCAGCTCACTGCAACCTCTGCTTCCCAGATTTGAGCAATTCTCATGCCTCAGGCCTCCTGGGTAGCTGGTACTACAGATATACACTATCATGCCTGGCTAATTTTTGTATTTTTGGTGGAGATGGGGTTTCACCGTGTTGGCCAGGTTGGTCTCAAACTCCTGGCCTCATGTGGTCTGTCCACCTCAGCCTCCCACAGTGCTAAGATTATAGGCATGAGCCACCATCACTACACATGGCCTCTAACATAATTCTTAACCGGCTGAATAGAGTTATCAAATATTTATTATAAAATGGTTTTTAAAAAAAATGCAGATACCACCCAAAAGGTGAATTATTTAGGTATTTACAAATCATTTAAAGTGATTATACCCCCAAACTCAAATTGTACCTTCAATAAGAACTGGAAACACAAGAATGATAATGACTTGCAAATCTGGCACGCAAACATTCTCTGATGTTCTCACTATGTGCCATGTACTGCTCTAAACAAGTGTTACTATATATCACCCCCACAACAAATTTAATTTAATCCTATAAGATCAGTACTCTCATTATTTTGGTCTTTTTTTTTTTTTTTTTGAGACAGGGGTCTCACTCTGTTGCCCAGGCGGGAATTCAGTGGCACAATCATAGCTCACGATAACCTTGAACTCTTAGGCTCAAGTGATCCTCTTGTCTTAGCCTTCCAATTAGTTAGGGCTACAGGAATACCCCCTAGCCCCATCCCCCACACTACTCTGCTAATTTTATTTTACTTTTTTATTGTTATTATTTTTGAGTCAGGGTTTCACTCTGTTCCCCAGGCTAGAGTGCAGTGGTGCAATCACGGCCACTGTTATCATGGTGTACCTTCAACCTCTTGGGCTCAAGTGATACGCTCACCTCAGCCTCCTGAGTGGCTAGGACTACAGCTTCATGCCACCAAGCCAACTAATTTTTCTGTTTTTTTGGTAGAGACGGGGTTTTACCATGTTGTCTAGGCTGGTCTCAAACTCCTGGGCTCAAGCCATCTGCCTGACTTCGCTTCCCAAAGTGCTGGAACTACAGGTGTGAGCTACCACGCCCAGCCTATGTTTGTTTTAAAGAAGATAAAAATTGGGGCACAGAAAAGTCAACTTGTAAAGTTACAATCAGTAGAATCCAGATACAATACAATCTCCCTAAATTAATCACTCACTGCTTTAATTAATTACTCTCAACAATACTTTCTTACTATCCTTAAGATATTTATAAAATGGACTAAAATCCATCTAAAAATTTTAAAACATTAACCCTAAACACAGGAAAATCTATAAAACCATTATAGGAAACTCCAAAACGTGGTCTAATAACTTATCACCTATCACCCACAAAAACTATCAAACATGTGCTCTAATAACTTATCACCTATCACCCACAAAAACTATCAAACATGTGCTCTAATAACTTATCACCTAACACCCACAAAAACTATCTTTTGGAAGGACCAATCCATATTTAAAGAGGAAGGATATATGTTTTCTGTCTATATAGTCCCTGTGTAACTCCAAATAACTGACACATTCTCTACTCTCTTGGGCATAATCCACCAAAATGACAAAGGAAGAAAGTTAAGAAAAACAGCCAGGTGTGGTGGCTCACACCTGTAATCCCAGCACTTTGGGAGGCTGAGGTGGGTGGATCACCTAAGGTCAGGAGTTCGAAACCACCCTGACCAACAAGGTGAAACCCCATCTCTATTTTAAAATTTTTTTTTAAAAAAAGTGAAGAAAAACACCAATAAACATAGTATGAGGGTTGAGTCATTAGCTTACTACCACATAAAGTAATGACACCAGTATTTATTATTCACTAGATTTTTATTCACTCCCAAAATAATTGCGTATATCTGTCTCAAAGTCAAAGGACATACAACGACAAATGCAATCGGTAACAAATTTAAACAGTAGAAAGACCCCAAGAATACCATCTCTAGATGGCTCCCTTACCAGTTTCCTTTTCTTTTTATTTTTTTATTTTATTTTTTTCTGAGACAGTCTCACTCTGTCACCCAGGCTGAAGTGTAGTGGCACGATCTCAGCTCACTGCAATCTCCACCTCCTGAGTTCAAGTGATTCTCCTGCCTTGGCCTCACAAGTACCTGGGACTACAGGGGTACGCCACCATGCCTGGCTAATTTTTGTATTTTTAGTAGAGATGGGGTTTTGCTATGTTGGCCAGGCTGGTCTCAAACTCCTGACCTCAAGTGATCCACCCGCCTCAGACTCCCAAAGCACTGCGGGCCTGCCACTGCACCCGGCCCACCGGTTTCATTTTCTACTGCACTCTCTCTCCCTACAAATTTCCAAATGTTAATGACACTAGAAAATTCCTTTGTAAAAGTAATATCCTAAAAAGAAAAATCTGAAGTTACTTTTATAGTAATGAAACACATGAACTATAACTCTCTTTTGGGGTCCTGACAATGAACAGACGAAATACTTCAAAATATTAAGTGAAGAGCTACTAATTTAATTTTGAAAATGCTATCATAGGCCAGGTGCAGCTCACATCTGTAATCCCAGCACTTTGGGAGGCCAAGGCAGGTAGATCACCTAAGGTCAGGAGTTCGAGATTAGCCTGACCAACATAGTGAAACCTCATCTCTACTAAAAATACAAAAATTAGCCGGGTGCAGTGATGTGCACCTGTAGTCCCAGCTACTCAAGAGGCTGAGGCAGGAGAATCACTTGAACCCAGGAGGTGAAGGTTGCAGTGAGCTGAGATTGAGCCACTGCACTCAGTCTGGGCAACTGAGCAAGACTCCATCTCAAAAAAAAAGAAAAAGAAAGAAAAGAAAAGAAAAGAAAAGAAAAGAAAAGAAAAGAAAAGAAAAGAAAAGAAAAGAAAAGAAAAGAAAAGAAGAAAGAAAGAAAGAAAGAAAGGAAAGAAAGGAAAGAAAGGAAAGAAAGAAAAGAAAGAAGGAAGGAAGGAAGGAAGGAAGGAAGGAAGGAAGGAAGGAAAGAAAGAAAAGAAAGAAAAAGAAAGAAAGAAAGAAAGAAAGAAAGAAAGAAAGATAGAGAAAGAAAGAAAGAAAGAAAGAAAGAAAGAAAGAAAGAAAGAAAGAGAGAGAGAGAGAGAGAGAGAGAAAGAAAGAAAGAAAATGCTATCATAAAATGATTCTGTCACAAAAACAAGGAGTAATTAGCTGGGCATGGTGGCGCGTGCCTGTAATCCCAGCTACTCAGGAGGCTGAGGCAGGAGAATTGCCTGAACTCAGGAGGCGGAGGTTGTGGTGAGCCGAGATCGCGCCATTGCACTCCAGCCTGGGTAATGAGCGAAACTCCGTCTCAAACAAAAAATTAAAAAAAAAAACAAAAACAAAAACAAGGAGTATCAGTTTCCAAAGCAATTAAGTACAGTACACTTAAATTTGATTCAGTCATTCTGTGTTTCTTGAAAAGCTGGTGTGGAACCAACAGATAAAAATCACAAAATAGGACAGGCATGGTGGCTCATGCCTGTAATCCCAGCATTCTGAGAAGCTGAGGTGGGTGGATCACCTGAGGTCAGGAATTCGACACCATCTTGGCTAACATGGTGAAACCTCATGTCTACTAAAAATACAGAAATTAGCTGGGCGTGCTGGCGCATGCCTGTAATCCCAGCTACCTGGGGGCTGAGGCAGGAGAATCGCTGGAAGCCGGGAGGCAGAGGCTACAGTGATCTGGGATCCCGCCACTGCGCTCCAGCCTGGGCAATAGAGTGAGACTCCGTGTTGGGGGAAGGGGAAAATTACAAAATAGGGTATGTTGGCTCAACACAAGAAGGCTAACCCTGAGAATCATCCTATAAAGGAACTGCCTATGAGAGTAGGCATTAAGCTCCACCTAATGCCAAGTATTAAAGGGAAGGCTAGAATGCTATTATACAAAGAAGGTCAGTGACAGGCCACTGTAGGTGACTGACACATAAGGCACCCTCCACATTACACTGTAACAACCATGACACTTACCTGTGTTTTCGCAGGTATGTTTCTAGTGTTTCTAAAAGACAACTTGAGTCAATTAAAACTACTTCATCCCTGCATTCCTGGGACATTAGTTCCCATACATCCATCCAACAACCTCTGCAGAAAGAACAATTATTAGTGAAAAGGGAGAATACAGAAGGGTTAAAACATTTAAAAAAAAAAAAAAAAAAAAAAAAAACAGAGTAAAGTATTGCTTGATTTTACCTGGCTGTTCCCTGGAAAGGTCCATAATGGAAAATGATCCTACACTTGCTGTCCTTCCTGTGGTCTTCACTACTTCTCTTATCTGTACTTAACTTCTCTGAACTGACACTGCTACTGCTCCCTTCACTGTAGTACAGTATAGTACAAAGCTTAGTGACACTCAGATAATCTGAAGAAAGAATTTCTACGGTCTAAATTAAAATCATGAATGCTTTAATGATTAATATATCAGAACATCTTTATAAATTATGATTACTCACTTTATATTAAAATGTTCATTTAAATGTATGCTCACATCTTTATATAAAAACTTCTCCTTGACTATCAAGTTTATCCGATACAAATTAACATTTGTAGTTATCAAGAGAGCAACTGGTTAATAAACTTATTCTATGAGCAAATACAGTTGGAATGTGCTAAAGTCAAAATCACCAAAAAAATTATAAACACAGACCAATCTTTCACAAATTGAAAATTCTAAGAAGTTTTGATCTACTTAATGAGATCATCATCAAGTAATTACTTTTTTCCTTTTATTTTGTAGAGATGAGGTCTCTGCTATGTTGCCCAGGCTGGTCCCAAAACCACTGACCTCAAGTGATTCTCCCACCTCAGCCTCCCAAAGCACTGAGATTACAGGTGTGAGCCACCATGCCCACCTCATTTTTTTTCTAATCATTACTTTTTAAAGGTAATCCATGATAACAAACTATTATCTACCTTCACATGTACAAGTAGCTGGAAAAGTCATAGATTAACCTAATTACATTGAATACGTTTTAAATTTTCTAAAATAAATATAGTACACTAAGATGAACACTTTATACAGCCTGAATTAATAAGAACTATGCAGTAATTTTTTTTTTGAGACAGGCCCTTGCTGTGTCACTCAGGCTGGAATGCTGGCATGATCTTGGCTCGCTGCAACCGCTACCCTCCCACCTTAGCCTCCCGAATAGCTAGGACCACAGGTGTGTACCACCACACCCAGCTATTTTTTCATATTTTTCTAAGTAGAAACAGCAGGGTCTTGTCATGTTGCCCAGGCTTGTCTCCAACTCCTGAGCACAGGCAATCTGCCCACGTCGGCCTCCCAAAGGGCTGGGGATTACAGGTGTGAGACACCACGCCCAGCCCTATACAATACTTTATTTAAAACAAAAAAAAATTACTAAAATCTTCCCAGACTCTCCCTCCCCAACAGGGTTCAACTTTCATTATGAAAACTGCCACACATTTTGCTTTGTCACAGCACATTTCCCTTGGACCTGCATTCCAAGGGAGAGGTAGGTTTATATTCCATTCAGCGACAGCCTTCTTGACTTTTCATTATTCTGAACAACTGGTTCCTCTCTGTTCTTCTGCAGGTCTCAGTACAGTCCTAGGAATTCATTACACCTTTGATGCTAGAGATGGAAAAACCTTTGAACCTTTCACTTACTCTATATAGATAAATGGGTATTTCTCAACCCTCTGCCCAAAATATAAAGTCATCCACACAATTCAGCTCTGTACTCCCGCTCATAAGGGCTCAGGCCAAGGTTCAGCTCCCCTTATTTGTGACAATAAAAACCTCATCTGCTCCACTTTCCGTGTTAGATCCTTCTACTCTCAACTCTGACATTTCCTCTTTTACTAACTATACTTAATTAGTATAATGCGTAATTTCTTAGAACTGAAAAACTCTCAAATTCAAGCTCTCATAATTGAGAGGGGAAGGTTCATAAAGAGAAATCAGAGCTGAAGAATGATTACCATCAGAATGTGAAAGCGTTATTATTATTTTTTTAAAAAAGCGCTATAAAAAATCTATAGCTCAAATCAGGATTTTATGTATAAATATTCTAGACATTATGCCTTCTATTATTCTTTTAAGATCAAGCTTTCCAAAAAAGTAACCCTTCCATTTTCTGATTCTGCTCCCACACTTTCCATTCACAGCTTAATCCATGACAACTTCACACTGCATTCACTTTTCCATCACTGTGACCTGGATTCTGCTTCCACTCAATCACTAACTGAGCTCATCAAGATCACCAATTATCTCAGTGTTACTAAATTCAATGTCCTCTTTTGGGTCCATAATGACGTGACAGCATTTAACAGAGCTGACCAGACTTCCTTGAAACACTTTTACACTTTGGCTTCTTCCTATCTGGCTATTCTTTGTCAAGTTTCTTTACTAACTTCTTTCCCACCATTAAATTCCTAGAATTCTTTTAATCTCTTACCCTTTAGGTGCTCTTATATAGCATTCTCAAAAATAAGCTACAGGTCTACAACTCTAGTGTAGATCTTTCTTTCAGGTCTCAAACTTACTCCCAGAAAGACAATAACCTGACTTGCATAGATCAGAGAACACTCTCAGAAAGGCTGACCTAGATTGCTATTTATTAGGATAAAACTTAATCAACTGTATTATACTTTCCCTGGAAAAAGTCTAAACAAATTTAAAAAGCTATAGGAGGCCGGGCGCGGTGGCTCAAGCCTGTAATCCCAGCACTTTGGGAGGCCGAGGCGGGTGAATCACGAGGTCAAGAGATCGAGACCATCCTGGTCAACATGGTGAAACCCCGTCTCTACTAAAAATACAAAAAATTAGCTGGGCATGGTGGTGCGTGCCTGTAATCCCAGCTACTCAGGAGGCTGAGGCAGGAGAATTGCCTGAACCCAGGAGGCGGAGGTTGCGGTGAGCCGAGATCGCACCATTGCACACCAGCCTGGGTAACATGAGTGAAACTCCGTCTTAAAAAAAAAAAAAAAAAAAAAAAAAGCTATAGGAGGGATGGAGCAGTAAGAGATGGGAGTGGAAAATACATAAAATGGAGAATCATAGTCGCATTTAATAGTAATGGTCATCCAAAGGAGACGGAGCCTTGGCTAAGCATACTGTACTGCTTAGCCTGCTATCTATGTAGCCTGTGGGAATAACTAAAGCAACCTTAGTCAAGAGACAGGCACTGCTTAAGCTCAATTAAGTTCATTCACACTAATTCCATACCCAGCAAACAGCCTTCTAAAACATGTGACTTCCCATGCAGTGGGACCGTAGCTGGAAGGGGATGTAAAATCTGTGGAGGTTTGTTTTATATCTTAAGGTGAAAGATAGAAAAACACAGCTGTATGTAAATTTAACAAAAGCAGGTAACTGACTAAGTGATTGAGAAGAAAGGAGACGGAGTGCAGAGCAAAAGTGGAAGGACAGGTCTTTGAAGGAAGGCAGCAATGAGCATAGACGTGTAAGATGCTGGAGTACTTGTTGCTTTTCAGTTCATCAATGAAGAGAATATGCTTAACAGAAAAAAAGTACCAGAAGACAAGCTCTTTATTATATACCACGCGATGCCTTCAGCCAACAGGTCATTCTCTAATGTGAAAAATTAGCCTATACTCTGCATTTAGAGTCAGAAATTCTTGAAGATACTGACAAATCTGAGAAGGAAGAAAGAGCGGGTAAAAAAAATTTTTAAATAAAAAATTTTAAAAAGATACTGACAAATCGGGCCAGGCACAATGGCTCACGCCTGTAATACCAGTACTTTGGGAGGGCGAGATGAGTGGATCAGCTGAGGTCAGGAGTTTGAGATCAGCCTGGCCAACCTGGTAAAACCCCATGTCTATTAAAAATATAAAAATTAGCCAGGCATGATGGCAGGTGCCTGTAATCCCAGCTACTCAGGAGGCTGAGGCAGGAGAATCACTTGAACCTAGGAGGTGGAGGTTGCAGTGAGCCAAGATCATGCCACTGCATTCCAGCCTGGAGTGATACTCCATCTCAAAACATAAAAAAAAGATACTGACAAATCAAGCATGCAAAATAACAATCATCCTTAAGAAAACTTTTTTTTTTTTTTTTTTTTTTTTTTGAGACAGACAGTCTCACTCTGTCACTCAGGCTGGAGTGCAGTGGCTCGATCTTGACTCACTGCAAACTCCGCCTCCTGGGTTCAACTGATTTTCGTGCCTCAGCCTCTCAAGTAGCTGGGATTACAGGCGATTTCGCCATGTTGGCTAGGCTGGTCTTGAACCCCTGACCTCAAGTGATCCACCGCCTCAACCCCCAAAGTGCTAAGATTACAGGCGTGAGCAACCGCAACTAGCCAAGTAAATTTCTTTACGTTTGCAGAGTTTTATCGTGTTCAGAGTACTCCCACGTTTAGGTGTCACATAATGTGTGGTTCTAGTTCGGATTCTGATTCATACAAATTAATGTTTACAAAAAAAAAAACAAAAACAGAGACAATAGGGAAAATCTGAGTATGAAATAGGTATTCAATTATTACAGTTAATTTTTTTAGGTGTTATGATGTCACTGTGGTTATGAAAAAAAACTTCCCTATGTTTAGAGATGCACATGGAAAGATGTAAAAGCAGAATAACATGGAACCTGGGACTTGCTTTAAAATACAAAGAAAAAGGTGGATAAATGAAGCAAGTGTGGCAACTCTTGATAATTATTGAATATTGGTTAAAAAAAAAAAGTACATGGGAGGTACAGTCATTGTATTTTCTACTTTTCTGTGTTTGACAGTTTTAGTAATAAAACTTATTTATTATTTATTGCTTGAACTCCCAGGTTCAAGCAATTCTCCTGCTTCAGCCTCCTGAGTAGCGAGGATTACAGGTGCCTGTCACCATGCCTGGCTAATTTTTGTATTTTTAGTAGAGATGGGTTTCACCATCTTGCCCCTGCGGGTCTCAAACTCCTGACCTCAGGCAATCCACCCTCCTCAGCCTCCCAAAGTGCTGGGATTACAGACATGAGCCACCAAGCCCAGCCAACAAAATTTTTAAAATATTTTTTGTTGCTCAGTATAAGGGAAAAAAACCTTAGTACATTATTAACACACCACTGCCTAATCAACTCTGTGTGTCAGGGAGGAATAAAAGTCTAAAAAATAATGGTGTTACACTGGGAAGTTAAGGTCAAAAAACAAAAAGGTGTCAATGACATAAATGAGATATTCAAAAATTAACTTTTTAAAAATTAATACAGAGGCCAGGTGCAGTGGCTCATTCCTGTAATCTCAGCACTTTGGGAGGTCAAGGCAGGCAGATCACTTGAGGCCAGGAGTTTGAGACCCGCCTGGGCGACATGGCAAAACTCCATCTCTATTAAAAATGCAAAAAAATTAGACAGGAGTGGTGGTGCCTACCTGTAATCCTAGCTACTCAAGAGGCTGAGGCATGAGAATTGCTTGAATCCAAGAGGCAGAGGTTGCAGTGAACCAATATCAAACCACCACACTCCAGCCTGAGTGACAGTGAAAGGTTCATTCTCTTTAAGAACCTTTAATTAATTAATATTTGAGACAGAGCAAGGCTCTGCCTCAAAAAAATAATTAAAAAAATAAAATTAATACACAAGTCTAGTTTTATAACATCCCATTCTCTCCAAAACTAAGACTTTCTAAGTCACTTACAAAGTCCTTTCACACTCCATGGCTTCTCCTCACCATCCCCACCCCCAGGCAATTTTGTAGGTGACAACTGTGGCACTGTGCTAGCAGAGGGTGAAAAAGCAGCCTTGGACACTATAGCACTTAACCAAGAAGAAAACTACAAATTATTGTGTGGCAATATTTGCTTAAAAAATAAATAAATATAGAAAACTACAAATTAGTTACATAAATCCATATTGCCGTAACAGATTACTTTTTTTCAAACCTTGGTAAATTAGGGACACCTAGAGATAAGAAAGAAAAATAATTTATACATTATGACTACTCTATAGATCAAAGAATGATTACCACTACTTCGAAAACCTTAATATTAGCTGCATAAATTTCCACAAAGACTTCAACCAGCTGGGCACAGTGGCTCATGCCTGTAATCCCAGCACTTTCGGAGGCCGAGGCAGGTAGATAATGAGGCCACGAGTTTGAGACCAGCCTGGCTAATAGGGTGAAACCCCATCTCTACTAAAAATACAAAAATTAGCCAGGCGTAGTGGCGCACACCTGTAGTCCCACCTTCTCAGGATTCTGAGACAGAAGAATCGCTTGAACCCAGGAGACAGAGGCTGCAGTGAGCCAAGATCGCACCACTACACTCCAGCCTGGGCCACAGAGGGAGACTGTCTCAAAAAAAAAAAAAAGAAAGAGGCTGGGCACGGTGGCTCACGCCTATAATCCCAGTACTTTGGGAGGCTGAGGTGGGTGGATCACGAGGTCAGCAGTTCAAGAGCAGCCTGGCCAAGATGGTGAAACACCATCTCTACTAAAAACAGAAAAAAATTAGCTGGGTGTGGTGGCACATGCCTGTAGTCCCACCTACTTGGGAGGCTGAGGCAGAAAAATTGCCTGAACCCAGGAGATGGAGGTTACAATGAGCCAAGATCGTGCCACTACACTCCAGCCTGGGCAACAGGGCAAGACTCTGTCACACACACACAAAAAAAGACTAAAGATTTCAACCTCCCTCCTCCAAAACATGTTTAACATAAAAAAAATTTTTTAATCAAATCTATATTGAGACTTTATACATATCAATGCAAAAAGGCCAACAGAACAAGATGATCTATTTATTTTGAACTTTGTCATAGGGTATAACCCATTAATGAATTAAAGCCAACAATGGATTTATTCTTTTTACTATATATGATCAATATGTATAATCTTAACAATGACAAAGGCTCTTGGTATTCAATTCTACTTACCCCAAAGGTTTTGGCTTGTGCGTATCTAAGGAGTGCAACTGACATCTCTTATTCTTCTTACTTTTTGGAATAGCATCTATCATGTCATTTAGTTTGGACCTAATTAAAAATAAAACACATTCTGGGTTTAATTCATTTTTCTTTCAAATTTTAAAATCTCTATTTACTGTCTTTTAGAAAGAAGTCTCAAAACAAAAGCACCCACTTCTCTCTATCCCCACTGTATCTATCAGTGTGCCTGGCACTCAAGTATTTCAAGACTGACTGCTACATGACTCCCAGCCATCTTCTCTTGCCCAGACATTATGTAAAGATACCAGCTGCAGTAGCACACACCTGGAGTCTCAGCTATTTGGGAGGCCGATGTCAGAGGATCACTTAAGCCCAAGGGTTTGAGGCCAGCCTGGGCAACATAATGAGACCCCATGTCTTTAAAAAAAAAAATACAAAAAAAACTCACAAAATATTATGTAAATACAAAACATCCTTGAAGAGGAGCCATCAACAGAAATTTTATGCCAATATAGAATACATACTACTACTATCTGCACCCTCCAGCCAACCAATGAGCAAAGGCTGTCAATTCTAGCTTTTAAATATATCTAGAATCAAGCCTGGTGCAGTAGCTCACACCTATAATCCCAGCACTTTGTAAGGCTAAGGTGGGAGGATCACTTGAGGCCAGAAGTTCAAAGCCAGCCTGCACAACATAGCAAACTTCACCATTACAGCAAATTTTTAAATGAGGCCAGACGTGGTGGCTCATGCTTGTAAACCCAGCACTTTATGGGAGGCTGAGGCTGATGGATCTCTTGGGGCCAGGAGTCAGAGACCAGCCTGGCCAACATGGAAAAACCTCATTTCTACTAAAAAAAAATATATATATACATATATATATATTTGCATGAAAAATTAGCCAGGTGTGGCAGTGCACACCTGTAATCTCAGCTATTCAGGAGGCTGAGGCATAAGAATTGCTTGAACCTGAGAGGCAGAGGTTGCAGTGAGCCAAGATTGCACCACTGCACTCCAGCTTGAATCAGAGCTCCAGCTTGAGACAGAGTGAGACTCTGTCTCAACAAAATAAAATAAAATCTAAATAAAAATTAATCAACAGCCAATCTAGAATCAAATCACTTCTTATCACCTCTATCATTATCATCTCTGTCCAACCCACCAATCTCTAGCTTCGTCAACTGTAATAGCTGGCCTCCTAAATTGTCTCTTTGCTGTCACCTTCTGCCCTTTACATTCCAGGCCTCACTCCACAGCTAGAGTGATCCTTTTACAACATTAATCAGGTTATATTATTCCTCTGTTCAAAAACACTCCAAGGCTTCTTTTCCCAAGCCCAAGCATAGCAAAAATCAAAAGTCCCTACCACCATCTCTAAATAGGAGAGCCTCAGGGTTTACTCTTCAGATTTCCCTATTTATATTCACTAAATGAGACAAATTTACAGCTCTAAGCCAGACTTTTTTGAATTCTACTTGGATGCCTAATTGCTATCTCAAGCTTAACACACCCAAGGATGATCTGTTACATTTCTCCTCTCAGTCTTGTCCAACTCAGTGAGTGCAAACCATTTGTCCATCATTACACCACAAATCTGAGAATCATCCCTGATGCCCTCCCTCACAACCAATCTATCCAAAAAAAAATCCCACTGGCTCATTCTTCAAAATATATCCAGTATCCTTTATAACCATTTTTTACTACTTCCATGGCCATCATTCATTCTTAATTCAGAGGTCAAAGTAAGCCAAATTTTGTCGACTATGTCACTCTTCTGCTCAAAACCTTCCCAAAGCATCTCACCTCACTCAGAGTAAAAACAAAAGACCTCGGCCAGGCACAGTGGCTCACGCCTGTAATTCCAACACTTTTAGAGGCCGAGGCAGGCAGAACTCCTAAAGTCAGGAGTTCAAGACCAACCTGGCCAACATGATGAAACCCCGTCTCTACTAAAAAATGCAAAAAATAGCCAAGCATCGTGGTGGGTGCCTATAATCCCGGCTACTCGGGAGGCTGAGGCAGGAGAATCTCTTGAACCTGGGAGGTAGAGGTTGCAATAAACTGAGACTGAGCCACTGCACTCCAGCCTGGGCAACAACAGCAATACGCCACCTCAAAAAAATAAAAATAAAAAAAGACCTCAGGATGACCTACAAGGTGCCACATGACTGGACCTTTTATTTACTCTTTACTCTTCTGACCCCATCTTCTATTACTGTTCCCTTCATTCATCTGGTTCTAGCCACGACAGCCTCCTATTACTCAAACACACCAATAAAACCCCAACCCCTGAACCTTTGCACTAGCTGTTCCTCCTCTGCCTTCCCCCAGTTTTCTATAAGATTCGCTCACTCACTTCATTCAAGTCTATATTCAATGTCATTTTATCAGGGAGGTCTTCCCTAACCACCCTCCACAGTAATTCTACCCGTGCTCCATTCTCTATCTCCCTTGGTTTTTCTAATTTATCACACCCGACAACTGCCTATTTGCTTACTGTATGCTTCTCCCCTCATTGAGAGCAAAAACTTTACATTCACTGGTACACAGAAGCTACTCAGTAAAAGTATTAAATTAGACTCAATCTTTCCACCAAAAAAATAACCTGCCACTGTCACCAAGCTGTTTTAAATTTTAACAGACCCATTTTCTCCTAATTGATTATACTTACCCATGTACATAAAATAATGTATAAAGCTTCTTTGCATCAGTCATGCAGCTTCTGGTTACAGACAGGACTCCCTTGGGCCCTACTGTTAAGGGTTCAAGAGCAGGATTGCCAGACTCTACAAGCTGGGAAAAGAGACGCTCCACACTGCGGCGACAACCAACACATGGGACAAGCTGAGAAAGTGCACTCAGGACTTCACGTGATGTCACCACCATGGCAATACTTAGATCCTGTTGCTTAAGCATACCATGTCGCTGAAAGAGGGAAAGAAAATGAAGGAGCGCCCTTTAAAAAGACATAAAATTACACTTTCACTACTACTGGTTCTTATGTAGTAAGTACAACCTGGACAGGGCTTACCAGCTCTACCTGCAACTGATCAGAAAGGCAAAGTAGTCAGCTTTGTCCACGCTGTACTGACAAGTCCATGCTCCACAAACCCCCTTGTGCTCTAGACTCTAGGGCACATAAACAACTCTGATTAGTATGCCAAAAAGCAGTCCTGTATCTGGAAATGTAGGGCTGGTTCAGTCAGTATTAAGCCAGTATTCTTACCACCAAAAAAAAGGACACAATACAGCTATACTATTTTTTGGTTTTTTCTGTTTTTTGTTTTGTTACCACTTTTAACAGCACACTCACTATCACTATATTTAGCTACAGGAGTCAAGTTAGGATGTTAATCATGTGGAGCAGCAATTCTCAATCCAGAGGTATGAACAGGTGTATTACAGATTAGTGGGAGAAACATGGCCCATCTTTCCTACATAGGGAAGTGAGTAACTGGCATGCTGCTGCATATGAATGGTATCTGCTGGTTATGACAAGATAGAAAAACGACTGAGAAGGCTGGGTGCGGTGGCTCAAGCCTGTAATCCCAGCACTTTGGGAGGCTGAGGCGGGTGGATCACAAGGTCAAGAGATCGAGACCATCCTGGTCAACATGGTGAAACCCCGTCTCTACTAAAAATACAAAAAATTAGCTGGGCATGGTGGCACGTGCCTGTAATCCCAGCTACTCAGGAGGCTGAGGCAGGAGAATTGCCTGAACCCAGGAGGCGGAGGTTGCGGTGAGCCGAGATCGCGCCATTGCACTCCAGCCTGGGTAACATGAGTGAAACTCCGTCTCAAAAAAAAAAAAAAAAGAAAAACGACTGAGAACTGCTGCTGCAGAGAAATGAGCAAACTCTAGTAAATAACTTATACCTGATGGAGTTATAGTTACACTGCAGTTAACACTTCGAGATTTACCAAAAACAGATGGGAAAGTAGGATAATTCCCAAGAAGCATTTTCTCACATATACCATTACCCTTCAAAGTCTTCTCTAAAAGTAGAAATAAGAATTCTGAAGTAAACTAACAAATCATCTTCCAATATCTTAATTACAGTCTGCCCTCCGTATCCATGGGTTCTACATCTGTGAATACAACCAACCAAGGATCAAAAATACTTTGGGGGAAAAAAAAGGATGGTTGCCTCTGTACTAAACATGTACAGACTTTTCTTATCATTAGTCCCTAAATGATACAGTATAACTACTATTTACAGAGCATTTACATTGTATTAGGTGCTATAAGTAATCTAAATATGCTTTAAAGTATACGGGAGGATGTGCAGAGGTTATATGCAAATAAACATCTTGTTTTTTCTGAGACAAGGTCTCACTCTATTGCCCAGGCTGGAATGCAGCGGTACAATCTCAGCTCACTACAACCTCTCTGCCTCCTGGGCTCAAGAGATCCTCCCACTTCAGCCTACTAAGTAGCCGGGACCCCAGGCACATGCCACTACCTCCAGCCAACTTTTTTGTACTGTTTGTAGAGACAGGGTTTTGCCATGATGCCTAGGCTGGTCTCCAACTAATGAGCTCAAGCAATCCACACCTGCTTTGGTCTCCCAAAGTGCTGGGATTACAGGCTTGAGCCACCAGCCCAGCCCTTACGACACCATTTTCTATATGGGACTTGAGCATTGTGAACTTCGATTCACAATGAGGGACAACTGAGGGACAAATGTATATTGTATTTAAGTATATTTATAAAGTACTATATTTCTGAGGAATTAAATAAAAATCACGAAGTTCATAACATAGGATTATTTGGTCTGAACAAAATAATTACTACTACAGCAGAAAACCAAGACATTTTTAATGAAAAACTGTATACACTATCTTTGAAAAACTAGGAAAGATGGTCTGGTGAAATTAAAGCCTTATGTACATGTAAAATATTAATACACCACCACCAATTCTTTTTCACATGACAGTTACATAAATCAGGTAAATAACTATATATATTTACTGCAGCAATGGTAAAAAAGAAAGCAATTTCAGTGCAATATTAAGACTTAGAGAACCCTATGTAAAATTAATACAGCTAAATTTTAAATCAGTCTTTTTTAAAGACATACACCATTAAACAGATTAAACACATATACCATTAAAAACACCAACTGAAAAAACCATTACCTGAATGAACTGCTTTAGCTGTGCACCATTATTCTGATGCCCGTCGAGATTTAACACATTGTCAGGAAATTCCATCACCATCTTAAAATGCAAACAGAACAGAAATCAATTATTTTACCCCTCTGAGAACCGGATATAGCCTACAAACTCCCAGAACAAAAACAGATCACTGAAAGCCAGATTTGCACCCACCTCTACCCCCCAAAAATTTTTTAATCCAAGTACACAAGTTTTTTTGTTTTTTTTTTTTCTGAGACAGAGTTTCGCTCTTGTTACCCAGGCTGGAGTGCAATGGCGCTATCTCGGCTCATCGCAACCTCCGCTTCCTGGGTTCAGGCAACTCTCCTGCCTCAACCTCCTGAGTAGCTGGGATTACAGGCACCCGCCACCATGCCCAGCTGATTTTTTGTATTTTTAGTAGAGACGGGGTTTCACCATGTTGACCAGGATGGTCTGGATCTCTTGACCTCGTGATCCATCCGCCTCGGCCTCCCAAAGTGCTGGGATTACAGGCGTGAGCCACCGCGCCCGGCATAAGTTTATTTTTTTTTGAGACAGAGTCTTGCTCTGTTGCCCAGGCTGGAGTGCAGTGGCGCAATTTCAGCTCACCACAACCTCCACCTCCTGGGTTTAAGCAATTCTCCTGCCACAGCCTCCCGAGTAGCTGAGATTATAAGCACCCACCACAGTGCCCAGCTAATTTTTGTATTTTTAGTAGATACAGGGTTTCACCATGTTGGCCAGGCTGGTTTCAAACTCCTGACCTCAGATGATCCACCCACCTCAGCCTCCCAAAGTACTGGGATTACAGGAGTGAGCCACTGTGCCAGGCCAGAATAGTGCCTGACACAGTGTTTGCTCTAATTATGAACAAAAAGGGCACACTGATATGCTTATTCAATTATCAAAATTCACTACCAGAGGAAGGCATATGAAGCTTAAGGGGGCTTCAGTATGTCACATAATGGGAATTTATAATTAGTACATTTTACTGATCTGTTGTCACACCACAGATTTTAGACAAGATCGGGCGTGTTCAGGGTGGTATGGCCGTAGACAACACACCACAGATTTTAAGTAGTACCATAGTTACGTATCACTACAGGCCATTTTTACTATGTCATAAAATTAAAGCAGCATCCTGATTTCAGAGATTTTTAAATGTGGGGAGAGGGAGGTATGCCTTCAAAACAATGAAAGTAACACATGTATATCTTAACTAAAACATCGTTAAAGATCAAAATACGGTACTAGAACAAACTGTTTCCACATAACAAGGACCACAAACTTCTACAAAACCAAAGAGTGAAGTCAGGACAAAAAGACCCATTTAAGGCAAAACAAAATCTCTCTACCCAGTTGAATGTGGTCTTTTTTTTTTTTTTTTTTTTGAGACGGAGTTTCGCTCTTGTTGCCCAGGCTGGAGTGCAATGGCGCGATCTCGGCTCACCGCAACCTCCGCCTCCTGGGTTCAGGCAATTCTCCCGCCTCAGCCTCCTGAGTAGCTGGGATTACAGGCATGCGCCACCATGCCCAGCTGATTTTTTGTATTTTTAGTAGAGACGGGGTTTCACTATGTTGACCAGGATGGTCTCGATCTCTTGACCTCGTGATCCACCCACCTCGGCCTCCCAAAGTGCTGGGATTACAGGCGTGAGCCACCGCGCCCGGCCTGAATGTGGTCTTAAAAAGATCACTCCCTTCCCCAACCAACACCAAAGACCTGCTTCTTTAATGGACATGACCATTCCATTCCTTCTGTATTAGAGAAGTTTAAAACATGCTTGTTGTAACAACAAAATGAGGCCTCATTAACAAGTAAGTCAAGTGTAAGCAATAGATTTAAGAGTTTTTCCTGATCTGATAAGGGAGGAATATGAGATATGTGAAATAGGGAGACAGATACTAAGAGGATAGACTATTATGCAAATACCAACTTAATCCAGACTGCGTATACAACACAATTCAAATTTTTAATGTGCATACTTTCACATCTTTCAAAAAAAGAAAACATATTAGATGTGGCTATCTCTAGGTAATGAGACAACTTTATTTATGAATGAGTTCCTATATTTCCCAAATGTATTACAGTGCATATATACTATTTATTATGAGGGGGAGAGAGTTAATGCTCCTTGCTTCCAATTCTATATTCATTACACCATGTTCAGAGACATGCTTCCATTTCAAAAGCCTTTTTTTTTTTTTTGACAGAGTCTTGCTGTGTCGCCCAGGATGGAGCATAGTGGTGCAATCTTGGCTCACTGCAACCTCCGCCTCCGGAGTTCAAGCAATTCACCTGCCTCGCCTCCCATGCAGCTGAGATTACAAGCATCCATCACCACACACAACTAATTCTTTTGTAGAGACACAGTTTCGCCATGTTGCCCAGGCTGGTTTCGAACTCTCCAGCTCAGGCAATCTGCCCGCCTCGGCCTCCCAAAGTGCTGGGATTACAGGCGTGAGCCACTGCACCCCGCCCATTTCAATAGCTTTCACCATTATAGAAGTTTTTTCTTCCATACATACAGATGAACTGTCCAAACGTCAATTATCCAATTTTCAGGTTTATCAACCCTGATATCTTGTTTCTAGTTTTCCTTCTCAGTCTTATTAATACCTCCAAAGGGGGATAGCAGTAAGTAATAATAATAATATACTTCATAGGTAACTAGACATTGTTATAAGCACTTTCATACATTAACTTTATCAACAGTACAAAGCAAAACTGAAGTCAATGGTCTGTTTTAATGCTGTAGCTATAAATGATCTGCTGAGGATGACTGAAGTAAGCAAAATATCTAATGATCCATACTGCCTATTGTATTTATTGTAATTAACATGGTCTCAATTTTTTTAAAAAAATTAATAATCCTGGTATTGGAAATCCTGGTCCAGAAAACTATTATAATAAAAGCAATAAAATAGTTAATAGTTCAAGTAAATCGGATTTTCTGGAATCCTGTCAAGTCATTAAAAAGATATAAACTTTTGTAACCATGTAACTAAACAGAATACTGCAGGTAACTCCAAACCTACCATTTAAGCAACTAATACCTTGATTTTTATTTTCATTTGCTTTAGACAAATATACACCATTTCACCACACACCAATAGCCATAATTTTTTAAGTAACAATTATCTATAATGCTTAAAGATCCAAGCTACCAATCTAAAAAACAAAGAATATTCCTTATTTAACCAAATCAAAGTTTCTCCAGTCTGGTTCTCAGGTGAAATTCTAAATACTGGTTCTGTATTTATTTTCATTCTAATCAACTGTTTTTGTTTTAAAAATTGAAACGGAGGCCAAAGAACACATCTAATGATACTGAGCCTGCAAGCCAATTTGTAAAATTTATTTTTTTTGAGACGGGGTCTCGCTCTGTTGCCCAGGCTGGAATGCAATGGGGTGATCTTGGCTAACTGCAGCCTTCGCCTCCCAGATTCAAGCAATTCTCCCACCTCAGCCTCCCGAGTAGCTGGGATTACAGGCGCACCACCACACCCAGCTAATTTTTGTATTTTTAGTAGAGACAGGGTTTTGCTATGTTGGCCAGGCTGGTCCTGAACTCCTGACCTCAGGTGATCCACCCTCCTCAGCCTCCTGAAGTCCTAGGATTACAGGCATGAGCCAACGCACCTGGCCTGAAATTTTTTTTTTTTTTTTTTTTTTTTTTTTTTTTCAATTCGGCTGTTGATACTTGTGCATGCTTCACGAAGTTCTCGTGAAATATTTTAATTATACAGATAATATCCAATTTAGGAATTCTTTCTAAAAAGTCAATGAACAGAGCTAAATATTTTAAAAAACAAAACTCATTTCAAATCATTTCGTTTTTACCTAATTAGTACAGAAAACATTAAGATCTAATCTATCTATGTGTCTTCCCCAGATTTCATCAGCGTAGATGCTACTAAATTTTCTCTAGTATTTACTCAATACTACTGTGGCTAGAGACAATGTACTCACACTAAATATTACTCTGTCCTTGCCTTTCAAACACTTAGGACAATGGCGTTTTACCTTACTGTTTTCGGACCAATCACTCTATACGTTGTTTAATGTTTTCAGAGATGAAAATAAAAAGGGAAAGGCAAAGAGGCTAGTAGCACAATTTGTTCTTCATTCTTTAAAACCACTTCCTTGACTTAATCTTGAGATTCTAGGTTACCTAAAGGAAGACAGTCCTGTCAAGTATTTCAGGTGTGGTTTTATAGAAGCATCATTAGCATTCAGCTTCATGAAGAGGTTGCCTGTCCACAGCCAGCCAAAAATAGAGCAAGTCATTGAGCTGTAATTACTGCTTTATAAAGTTTATTGAATCCATTACCCACTTTCACTCTTAAGCATCTGTCCTGGTTTCTCCTGACCACAAAACAATCTGTTTTTAGTGCGTTCTCACAAGTTGTAACCAACAATATACTAAATTTGCATTTATTAAAATCACTGTCATTTTGGTTTTACTCTTTTACTTCTTCATCCACACAGCTATTTATAACATCTATCACTCTCAGTAAAATTATTAAATCAAGAGTTGAAAGAAAACATTAAATGCTAAACTCTTAACTGCAAAACATCTAATTCCCAAACGGATATGCTACCGTTTATTATTTTTTGAAGTGTAAGGCAGTTAAGAACTCTTATCAGATTAATGCTGTACATGGAAACAAGAACAAAAAGGAAAAAAAAAACCCAAACTCTTATTAGAGTACTCTATTTAGACGGGCTTAAATTAGGAGAGTAAACTGCGATACAGAAATATAGTAGCAATCTGGCTGGGCGCGGTGGCTCACGCCTGTAATCCCAGCACTTTGCAAGGCCGAGGCAGGTGGATCATTTGAGGTCAGGAGTTCAAGACCGGTCTGGCCAAAATAGTGAAGCTCCGTCTCTACTAAAAAATACAAAAAGTAGCCAGACATGGTAGCAGACACCTGTAATCCCAGCTGCTCAGGAGGGAGGCTGAGGCACAAGAATCACTTGAACCTGAGAGACAGAGGTGGTAGTGAGCTGAGATTGTGCCACTGCATTCCAGCCTGGATGAGAGACTCCATCTCAAAAAAAAAAAGAAATATTGTAGCAATCTGACAACATGTACCAAAAATTGTATAAAACGTTCTTATCCTTTGACCCAGTAATTCCACTTCCAAAAGGCTGAGAAAATTTTTTTTTTTTTTTTACAGTCTCACTCTGCCGCCCCAGGCTGGAGTGCAGTGGCACGATCTCCGCTTGCTGCAACCTCTGCCTCCTGGGTTCAAGCAATTCTCCTGTCTCAGCCTCCCCTGGGACTACAGGCATGTGCCACCATACTCCACTCATTTTTTGTATTTTTAGTAGACAGAGTTTCACCATGTTAGCCAGGATGGTCTCCATCTCCTGACCTTGTGATCTGCCCACCCTAGCCTCCCAAAGCGCTGGGATTACAGGAGTGAGCCACTGTGCCCAGCAAGAAAACATTTTAATGCAAAGATTTGTGCATTATTTATATTCTTATTCATAGCAAAAACTAGAACCTCCATGTCCGACAGTGGAAGAATTATGTTACATCATATAACAGAATATTATACAGCCATTAAAAATGTTTAAGAATGACAAGAAAAAAATGTTTTCAAAATTACATTTAGTGAACTAAATCAGGGCATAAAACATTACCAAAAACATATTAACTCTGCATCTATGTGTGTGTCTATGACTGAAATTACACCAAATGCTGCTTATCCCTGAGAAGTATAACTAAGGGTAATTGGTTTTACAGTTATTTTTCAAGATTTTGGAAGAAATATCTATTTTGGCTGGGTGTGGTGGCTCATGCCTATAATCTCAGCACTTCAGGAGGTTGAGGCAGACAGATCACCTGAGGTCAGGAGTTCAAGACCAGCCTGATAAACATAGTGAAACCAAATCACTACTAAAAATACAAAAAAATTAGCCAAGCGTGGTGGCATGCACCTGTAATCCCAGCTACCTCAGACAGTGAGGCAGGTGAATCACTTGAACTCTGGAGGTAGAGGTTGCAGTGAGCCAAGATCATGCCACTGTACTCCAGTTTGGGCGAGAAAGCAAGACTCTATGTCTCAAAAAAAAAAAAAAAGGCCAGACGCGGTGGCTCCCGCCTGTAATCCAAGCACAGCACTTTGGAGGCCAAGGCGGGCAGATCACCTGAGGTCAGGAGTTCAAGACCATCCTGACCAACATGGTGAAACCCCGTATTTAAAAAAAAAAAAAAAAAATCTGTATTGTATCTGTTATAACTTTAGTCACACTGAACAGCATTTTAGCCACATAGTATAAAACTGTCTTAAATATTTCAACCATTCCACCAGCTTATTTGGGATTTTCTCAAATACACCTACATCAGCCCTATACTCAAGTGTTCAAACCCAGTGAGCTACCATGGGAATCTTAAACATGGATACAACATATCACATAAAAGAGGCTTTTTTTTTTTTTTTTGGAGACAGAGTTTCACTTTGCCTCCCAGGCTGGGAGTACAGTGACTCAATCTCAGCTCACTGCAACCTCCACCTCCCAGTTCAATCAATTCTCTTGCCTCAGCCTCCTGAGTAGCTGGGTTTAAAGGCGCATGCCACCATACCCAGCTAATTTTTTTGTAATTTGGTAGAGACGGGTTTTCATCATGTTGCCCAAGCTGGTCTTGAACTCCTGAGCTCAGGCAATCTGCCTGCCTCTCGGCCTCTCAAAGTGGCAGGATTACAGCTGTGAGCCACAGTGCCCAGCCTAAGGCTACTTTTCTTTTTTGAAACGGAGTCTCGCTCTTGTCGCCCAGACTGGAGTGTAGTGCCATGATCTGAGCTCACTGCAACCTCTGCCTCCCTGGTTTAAGGGATTCTCCTGCCTCAGTCTCCTGAGTAGCTGGGATTACAGGTGCCTACCATCGCGCCCGATTAATTTTTGTATTTTCAGTAGAGACATGATTTCATTATGTTGGCCACGCTGGTCTCGAACTGCTGACCTCAAGTAATCCGCCCTACTCGGCCTCCCAAAGTGCTGGAATTACAGGTGTGAGATGCTGCACCCGGCCAAAGGCTATTTCTTTACATACAAGCTTATTAATTTCATTTTTACAAGTCCAAGTTACAACTGCCAGTTTAACTAAGGCTAGAGGTTTGAGCATCCCTACTAAAATGATAGAAGTTTGCAACTTACTGTAAACATTGTTACTATACTGCAACATTTAGCTACTACCAAAATTCTAAGACTACTATTTGAAATAAGTTCAAATGATGTTTCTTCAATGCATTACCTATAGATCCAAGGAACAAAGACAAAACCTAACCTTAACTTCAGGCATGCACTGCCATCCAACTATCAAAGGACCAGTGCAGAGCATAAAACTCTACACAGGAATTTCTTCCCTCTTCCCTTTTCCCATTCTCTCCCAACAGGTGTTTTGCTCTGCATTCTCCCTTTCAGTAGTATTTGGTAGAATATTCTGAAAGAAACTTGTTTCCCTTGACAAGAATTTCCACTAACATTCACTCACAGCATTCAATGACTGTGCAGAAGTTCCAACACAAATAATCGTCTCACTCATTCCTTTGTGATAAAAACCCACTCTGAAGCAAATAAAAACTGCACCTTTTCCTAAATGTTATTTTGAGATATTTAAACTAAGTGAGCTTAAGTTTTATTTGCCTTAGTCACAAGTCCACAGTACAATAAAAGCAAAATTCAACCACCAGATACAGTGCAAAATAATTGCTAAACCACGTTGCAAGGTTACATCTTTTCCAGTGGAAAATTTTGGAAAGTCACATCACTGTGGAGAGAATACAGTATAAAAGCACCTAAAAAGTTGGCCTTTTCTTTTTTTTTTTTGAGTCGGAGTTTTGCTCGTTACCCAGGCTGGAGTGCAATGGCGCAATCTCGGCTCGCCGCAACCTCCGCCTCCTGGGTTCAGGCAATTCTCCTGCCTCAACCTCCTGAGTAGCTGGGATTACAGGCGCGCACCACCATGCCCAGCTAATTTTTTGTATTTTTAGTAGAGACGGGGTTTCACCATGTTGACCAGGATGGTCTCGATCTCTTAACCTCGTGATCCACCCGCCTCGGCCTCCCAAAGTGCTGGGATTACAGGCTTGAGCCACGACGACCGGCAAAAGTTGGCCATTTTAAAGTGCTATATGACAGATGTATTAATGTGCTGCATTCACAAAGATGGTCATGTGAGTATTCCATGAACTAATGTGTCTTTTAAAGCCTAATTTATGTTGGTTTTCCCTGTTTTGATGTTATTCACTCAATTATAATCTTACATCCAAATTCCCTGAATTTTTTTTAACTCCAAAGCCATTCTGGGACAATAAACCTCAAAGGCTGACATCAAACTATATGCTTTAGAAAAGTGTTTACGTTGGCGGGGGAGAGAAAAAAGAAAATATCAACAAATGAATTCCTATCCGGAATCCAAACTGAGAAATGCATTATTTAATTTGATCACAGCGCTAGGTTCAACTATTTAAAAATACAAGTCCGTTATACTTCTAATGCAAAAAGTACAGAAATCATAGTCAAGGCACACAAGTAATTTCTAATGCATCAACACTATTTATCAGAACAAATCATTCTACCTTTCTCATGAAAAATAAGTGCACTTGAATAATTGTATACGCTGTCACTTAAAAAGTTCTAATAAATTAAGTCATTCAATAGCTCTTATCCTTTTTAGAGTACTGCAGCTCAATCAAGTCTTAATTGAGACTGGCAAGCATAAAGGCATAGACTGGCATCTCTACAATGACTTGCATTTTACATAAAATTCGAAAAAACTTCGGTAGATATTTGCAAAAAAAAAAATACTAAGGAACAAAATTAATCAACTGCCTTTGATAGCAAAAGAATACTGATGAGATGAAGAGACTTAGCTGCACCTTATCGAAATAAGCAAATGTATAATCCAAAACTTCAGCATCATCAAAACACAGATTTCAAAAGGTATTCGGAAAAGGTTAATTTCTTAAGAAATAGTGGCAAGCAACTGCACTCATTTCCTGTTCAGATTCAATTCAAATTTCAGCCATTTCCTTTTAAAGGAAATAGTACAGCAACATAGGGCAGAGGGTCGGTAATGCTACACTACCAACTCTAAAGAAGAAAGTACCCGGAACTGGGTCTTAACACTGAAGATGAGCAATCACCTTTTTATAGTACTCTTACACATTCAATAATTTGCCTTGCTTTAAAAAAAAAAAAAGTCCACCTGTAAACTAAATAATGCCAAGAAAGCCCATTTTGAAGAGGCCAGGCCTAGCAGTACAATCATTTCAAGAGTTTTAATGCATTAGGCAATACGGGACTATTTACAACGAAATCAAACCATGTTTAGTGGAATCTTGACTGTGCCAGAGCATGTCACTCTGCCCTCAGTAATTAAGCTTATGTAGTGAGAGCGACCAGTATTAAAACAGAAAATACACAGGTAGCAGTGCAAATGCGACATTTCCAGGTAATTAAACCTCCCCGAGGGTAGGTGGTTTCTGTAAGGGGTAGGCCCTAAACGCCCAAGATCCTTCAACTCCCTCTCCGAGACGCGTGCTTTGGCAAAAGCGGCGTCTCCTAAACGGAAAGGGTCAAGGAAGAAGATTCCAAAAGAAGGAAAATCTAGAGAGAGGGAGTGCGTACGGAGCTCTGGGCTTGGGGCCGACAGAGGTTACCAAGCGACCCACTGCAAAGGCGAGTCTGTGGGGCCTGCTGGAGAGAAGGCCTCGCCTAGGAGTTGCAACACACTCTTTCTCCAGTGCGCAGCGCTCGGCCTGGGGGAGGGGGAGGAGGGGAAACAGCTGCCAGGGGAGCGGCGGGCCCAGCCCGGCCCGGCCCGCTCACCGTCAGGGTGTCGTCTATGTAGAGGGGGATCTGCCTCCTCTCGAAGGGGAACTCCTCCTCCCCGTCCCTGCACACTGCCACCAGTCGCGCCATCCTCCCCGACGCTGCCGTTGCCACCGTCACCACCTCCTCCCAGCTGCTGCTGCCGCCGCCGCCGCCGCTGCCTCTGCCGCCGCCGCCGCCGCCGCCGCTCCTGCTACCGCCGCTGCTGCCGCCTCCTCCCAGCTCCTGCCTGCAACAGCCAAACCCCGCGAGCGTAAGCACCGGCCGCCGCGCAGCACATTCGCCACGGGGGGCAGGGAGCGGAGCGGGAGGGGACGGGAGAGCCGGGCTGCGTTTCCCATCACCCGATTCCACACGTGCTCAGCCAATGAGCGCCCAGCGACGCCGGGACCCGCCCCCTCGCGCCGCGCTCCCTACCTCCCTCCCGCCCGGCCCCCGCCCGCCCGCTGGCCTCCCGTCAGGGTCCAAAGGAGAGGCGGAAGGGACCGTCCGGCCCGGGGGCTTCCCCGCCCGCCGCGGAAGTCCCGGCCCCAGGACCCCAACCCTGGCCTAAGCCCCACAGCCCGATCCCCGCCACCCGCCGCCCGGGTGCCCTCCTCCCTCAGCTGACCCCTTCTCCGGGTTTCTAGGCGCACCCCGCCCAGTCGGCCCCTGGACTGCAGTTGCCCAGCGCGACCCCGCCCCTGGGAGGGGTCGACCCCGTCACGGCTCTGCGGAGCCCAGGGAAGAGGGAGGCTCAGACCCTTTCCTCACCCTTCTCGGAGGAGGCTGTCGGTTCCGACCTTCGCCGTTTCCGTGGTCGCCTCCCTGACCCCCACCTCTGCTCCCCGTTACCAGCTGACGAGGCCCGCGTCAGGGCCGGCCTGGGCGGGAGCGCGGCTCCGAATGCCGTTTCCTCTCCCGGCAGTCAGCCGCTCGCGCCGCGGGGAGTGGGGGAGGGAGGGCGGGGGACAAGGGGAAGGTGGGGCCGGGCGGGGCCCGGCACCGGGCGGGGCCAGTGTCATCTCGCGAGACTGGGGCCTGCCGCGCTGGGGTCTCCGCTGTAGAAATCTGCGCCCCAAGGATGGGGGGCCGCCCTGGCAGTCCCTCCGTCAGGACCGGCGCAGCCCTCCGAATTCAGCCATTCTGCTAGACCCGAACTAGGACTGGTAGAGGGGATGATCCGCCCAACCTCAGGCCCTCGCCGGCGGGCTCGGAAGGCTTCCCCAGGGCGGAGGGGCGCAGCGAAGCGAGCTCGCCTGACTCCGGGCTGACTCAGGGCGGAGGACCTGGGTAGGTGGCGAGGATCCCAGGTCACAGGGGACGGAAGGCAGTTAAGGAAAGGAAGACGAGCATCGTGGGGAGAGAGACAAACTCTGGCCTCGGTCTCTTGGCCCTTGACGCCACTGAATTCGCGTTTCGCAGCGGGAAGGGGAGGAAAGGGCCCTGACACCCCGGCTCGCCAGGGCCCCGCCGCTTAGCTGCATCCCTATCCCGCCTAGGGGACCGCAGTAGTGAAGTGCTGACAGCTTGTGGTTGTCTTTACACTGGAGGGAAATAGAAAACTGGACAGTGGTGTGTGTGTGCGTCTTGGCCAAAGGAACTTCCTGGGCTGAGTTAAAGTGAGCAGTTACTCCTTTGGACGAAGTACTGGCACTGGCCAGAGGCCTTTCCCTCCTGCCATCTCCGAGGAAACAGAACTGCTGTGAAGACAGTTCCTCTCGCCGCCGGGTGCTCAGTTCTGGCCTTGAAGGTTTTGGAGGTCTGTTGTGAAACCAAAAGAGTTGGAAGATATCACCGGGCGCGGTGGCTCAAGCCTGTAATCCCAGCAATTTGGGAGGCCGAGGCGGGCGGATCACAAGGTCAAGAGATCTAGACCGTCCTGACCAACATGGTGAAACACCATCTCTAGTAAAAATACAAAATTAATTGGGCATGGTAGCGCGCACCTGTAGTCCCAGCTACTAGGGAGGCTGAGGCAGGAGTATCTTGAACCCGGGAGGGAGGTTGCAGTGAGCTGAGGTCACGCCACTGCATTCCAGCCTGGCGACAGAACAGGACTCTCCCCCCCACCCCCCCCAAAAAAAAAAAAAAAAAAAAAAAGAGAGTTGAAAAGATATTTAGCCTGTGAAAGTCCTGGCGATCTGAAGGATAGAACCATTTGCTGTTGTATTTCCTGGTAGAATAGGCTGGAGCTGTGATACCTTTAAAAAGTATTTTGGTCATCACATGGAGTCGTAGAGATTAAGAGCAAAAACCCCTTAGCCATGTTGACTTAGGACATTGTGTGGTCATTGTTAGGGTGAGTGACATAATAAACGAAGAACCATTGTTCATTCCCAAAGGTGTGATTCCCTGGTACATATTTGTGTCTTCTGGCCATGTTAGCAGAGTAGAAGAGTGTGATTATTAGCTTGAATCTAGAGAATCTCCCATTTTATGTTTCTTTTTTTTTCTTTTTTTTTTAAAAGCTGGGTGCGGTGGCTCACGCCTGGAATCCCAGCACTTTGGGAGGCCAAGGCAGGCGGATCACCTGAGGTAGGGAATTCGAGACCAGCCAGACCAACATAGAGAAACCCCTTCAACTACTAAAAATACAAAAATTAGCCGGGAGTGATGACGCATGCCTGTAATCCCAGCTACTCGGGATTCTCGGCCAAGGCAGGAGAATTGCTTGAGCCTGGGAGAGGGAGGTTGCAGTGAGCTGAGATCACACCACTGCACTCCACCTTGGGCAACAAAAGCGAAACTCCACCTCAAAAAACAAAAACAACAACAATACAGGCTGGGTGCATTGGCTCACACCTGTAATCCCAAGACTGGGAGACAAGGTGGACAGATCACTTGAGGTCAGGAGTTCGAGACCTGCCTGGGCAACATGGAGAAACCCTGTCTCTACTAAAAATACAAAAATTAGCCGGTTGGGGTGATGCATACCTGTAATCCCAGCTACTCGGTAGGCTGAGGCAGGAGAATTGCTTCAACCCAGAAGGCAGAGGTTGTGGTGAGCCAAGATCGCCCCACTGCACTCCAGCCTGGATGACAGTGTGAGACTCTATCTCAAATAAAATTGTATACACACGCACGCGCACACACACACACACACACACACACACATACACACACACACTGTGGCTTTCAATATCTAGAGGTGCTCCTATATTGGATACATCAATTAATGTACCCACATTTTTTCTTTTTTTGACGCATAGTTTAGCTCTTGTTGCCCAGACTGGAGTGCAATGGCCTTATCTCCGTTCACTGCAACTTCCCCCTCCCAGGATCAAGCGATTCCCCTGCCTCAGCCTCCCAAGAAGGTGGGATTACAGGCATGCACCACCATGCCTAGTTAATTTTGTATTTTTGGTAGAGATGGGGTTTCTCCATGTTGGTCAAGCTGGTCTCGAACTCCTGACCTCATGACCCTCCAGCCTCAGCCTCCCAAAGTGCTGGGATTACAGGTGTGAGCCACCGTGCCCAGCCTTAATGTACCTACTTTAAACCTTTTAAACTTCACTAGGATTCTGGTTGGCAAAGACTCATTATATTCTAATTACTTTGATTACTGATCACACACCAGGTACTAAAGAGTATTCAGCCTGGGGATTTAAATCCCTGAAAAGATATTAAAACACATATGTAAAACATAATAAAATGAGATCACAACAATCTTTTTCCATCTGAGCTTACCTTCCCTAATTTTGGCTTGTCTGTTAGGTCCACTGAACACAGTATCTTTGGACAGTGTTTCACATACTATAGGAATTCAATGAAAACGTATTCTTTTTTTTTTTTTTTTTTTTGAGACGGAGTTTTACTCATGTTACCCAGGCTGGAGTGCAATGGCGCGATCTTGGCTCACCGCAACCTCCGCCTCCTGGGTTCAGGCAATTCTCCTGCCTCAGCCTCCTGAGTAGCTGGGATTACAGGCACGCACCACCATGCCCAGCTAATTTTTTGTATTTTTGGTAGAGACGGGGTTTCACGATGTTGACCAGGATGGTCTCGATCTCTTGACCTCGTGATCCACCCGCCTCGGCCTCCCAAAGTGCTGGGATTACAGGCTTGAGCCACCGCGCCCAGCCTGAAAACGTATTCTTAAGGTGAAAAAGGCAGATAATTTGCTAGATAAATTGCTGTTTCTCAAGGAGGTGGTCTGGGTGCCATAAATAAAATAAAATCAATATCCCAAGGAAAATGCTTAGAAAATTATTTCATGACAATGAGTTTTCAAAGTTTTTACTGTGCACCTTCCTGGTTTTAGGGTAGGCACTTATTTTTATTTTCACTACTGCTCTATTTTCAGCCGTAACCACTAGTACTGCAGCAAATATTTCTTGAGTATTATCCTACGTACTTTAAAATGAAAAGCATCTGCTTTTAGAGAGCATAACTCTAATTGACAGAATAAATAATTGCTACATTAAAAGGCAGTTGTTTGTTGTCTGTTATTTCTTTGGCATTGTGAAATGCAAGGCTGAAGCATTTGAAAGGCCAGGAAAGCAAAAGCAAAGGCAATCAGCAGCAGAACACATTTTGCTGGTACCTAATAAAGAACAGTTGGCAGAATGGAGCTGTAACAAGTTATAAGCAAAATACTATTCTTTTTCTTCTTAGGTCCAAATGTGTGAGAAGCTAGCCACAAAATGAAGGCATAAATGAGATAGATCTGTTCTCCATACCACCTAGGTAGTAGGTAATTCTACTACCTATTACCTATATACCTATTACATATGCCTACCTACCTATTACCTATATAATTATTATTAAGGAATTAATAACAATTCCTTATTTCTTAGCTTCATAGAATATGTTTTTGGGCTTTTTGTTTTTGAGATGGAGTCATACTCTGTCACTCAGGCTGGAGTGCAGTGGCATGATCTTGGCTCACTGCAACCTCCAGCTCCCAGGTTCAAGCAATTCTCCTGCCTCAGCCTCCTGCGTAGCTGGGATTACAGATGCCTGCCACTACCCCCGGCTAATGGCTAATTTTTTGCATTTTTTGTAGAGACAGGGTTTCACCATGTTGGCCAGGCTGGTCTCAAACTCCTGACCTCGTGATTCATTTGCCTTGGCCTCCCAAAGTGCTGGGATTACAGGTGTGAGCCACCACGCCCAGCCCTTCATAGACTATGTTTAAACTCCTAGGGAGCAACATATGGTTCTTGTATGATTTATATACATATATCGGACATTGATGCTCAATAAAAATAAAACTGGTTGTGTTCACTGAGACAGGTGAATCACAAGGTCAAGAGATCGAGATCATCCTGGCCAACATGGTGAAACCCCATCTCAGCTAAAACTACAAAAATTAACTGGGCGTGGTGGCACACGCCTGTAGTCGGGAGGTTGAGGCAGGAGAATCCCTTGAACCCAGGAGGCGGAAGTTGCAGTGAGCCACGATCACGCCAGTGTACTCCAGCCTGGCGACAGAGCAAGACTCTGTCTCAAAAATAGTAATAATAAAAAATAAAACTGGTTGTCATCTTCAGAAGAGCTATTGGTGCATGTGTGGTAGACATTCCCAGTTTATAATTGTGTAAAATTAAAATTATGGGAGTGAGTCACTTTCTGAAGGGCATAGATAGGCTGAGGTCCTAGACCAGATTATATTCTTCTTACTCCTCGTTATCTTTCCCTCTCGCTTCTCTGCCCTCAAAAATTGATAGTTGCAAGGAAAATGATAGTTGATTAGAAGGGCTTTTGTTGGCCGGGTGCAGTGGCTCACGCCTGTAATCCCAGCACTTTGGGAGGCCGAGGCGGGTGGATCACAAGGTCAAGAGATCGAGACCATCCTGGTCAACATGGTGAAACCCCGTCTCTACTAAAAAAAAAATACAAAAAAAAAAAAAAAAAAAGAAGGGCTTTTGTTGTTTCATTAATACAACCACATTGTTTTATGTGGTAAGACAATCTGTGACCACAGAATGTTATTTAAATTACCATAGTGGCTGGGCGCAGTGGCTCAAGCCTGTAATCCCAGCACTTTGGGAGGCCGAGGCGAGTGGATCACGAGGTCAAGAGATCAAGACCATCCTGGTCAACATGGTGAAACCCGTCTCTACTAAAAATACAAAAAATTAGCTGGGCGTGGTGGCGCGTGCCTGTAATCCTAGCTACTCAGGAGGCTGAGGCAGGAGAATTGCCTGAACCCAGGAGGCGGAGGTTGCGGTGGGCCGAGATCGCGCCATTGCACTCCAGCCTGGGTAACAAGAGTGAAACTCCGTCTCAAAAAAAAAAAAAAAAAATTACCATAGTGGCCTAAATCTGAAGATTCGTGGATTGGGTTTTCTTTTTCATGAGCTGACACTGGGAAGTTCTGCTGTATCTGTCAAAAATAAACACACTTGGCCGGGCATGGTGACTCACACCTGCAATCCCAACACTTTGGGAGGCCCAGGCAGGCAGATCACTTGAGGTCAGGAGTTCAAGACCAGCCTGGCCAATATGGTGAAACCTTGTCTCGACTGAAAATACAAAAATTAGCCAGGCATAGTGGCTCGCACCTGTAATCCCAGCTACTCAGGAGGCTGAGGCAGCAGAATCGCTTAAACCGAGGAGGAGAGGTTGCAGTGAGCCGAGACTGTGCCACTACATTCCAGCCTGGGCGACAGAGCAAAACTCCATCTCAAAAAAAAAAAAGACAATAGAATACTGAATGTTAGTATAGGCCAGGATCATGCCTGTAATACAGCACTTTGGGAAGCTGTGATGGGAGAATTACTTGAGGCCAGGAATTGAGACCAGCCCTGGCAACACCATCTCTATTTTTAAAAGATTTAAAATAAATCTTAGCCATAGTTTTATTAGACTAGGTACTTGATGACTCTTTCTCATATTTCTTACCCTTAGTATGGTAGATAAGGATGCCTGATGTGGCCCCTGCCTGCCTCTGCAGCTCTCTGCCCATGCTATTCCTTTTTCTATGTGCAGCCTTCTTTCAGTTTCACGATATGCTTGGTGCACTCCCAACTTAGGACTTTGCTGAGGGATTCCTCCATCCAGAATGTTCTCTGCCATTTATCCCCCCAATCCCCAGACACATAAGACTTTACAACTCTTCATCCCACTCATCAGCTCTAGCTCAAAAGAAAGAGCCGTGTGTGAGGAAAACTTGACTCCTTACTAGGTCAGTTCTTGATTTGACACTCTTGACAACCTATACTTTTTCTTCATGACTTAGCATCTTACAATAGATGTTTAATGTGTTTCCTCAACTACATTGCAAGCTCTGAGGTGTCAGGAAATTTGTGCTGTGCTTCTTATATCCCCAGCATAGGGTAGGCTAAAAGATGAACTAGTCCCAAAGCAAAACTTATAATCTCAATTATTATGTGTATAAACAATAATACAACATACAATTAGTCTATTTTTTTATAGACAGGGTCTCACTATGTTCCCCAAATGGTCTTGAACTCCTGGGCTCAAGTGATCCTCCCACCTCAGCCTCTAAAGTGCTAGGATTACAGTTGTGAGTCACCATGCCGAGCTTTCAGTCTATTCTTTGAAGCGTTTAACTGTCTGACTTTATAGTATGTGAGTATCTCATTTAAAAAATTTTTCTTTTTTTATATACCCATCTGCACACTGGAGTATTTGATTTTAAACCCTTCCTTCTTAATTCTAGGTTTTATTCACAAATTTTAATTGAGCAATAAAGAAGTATTGACAATCCAGTTTATGCTAAAATGTCAACATAAACATTTCATTTAATATACATTTATTGTAAAAGCAATATACAATAAAAATACGGAATAGCATACATTCTAACAAGTCACAAGGCTTTGTTTCTTCTTGGTTTGTTGTTGAGATACATTAAAATATTAAGCATTGGCTCAGTGTGGTAGCTCATGCCTATAATCCCAGCACTTTGGGAGGCTGAGGCGGGTGGATCACTTGCGTTCAGGAGTTTGAGAGCAACCTGGCCAATATGGCAAAACCCTACCTCTACTAAAATACAAAAATTAGCTGGGTGTGGTGGCCCACACCTCCAGTCCCAGCTACTCAGGAGGCTGAGGCAGGAGAATCACTTGAACCTGGGAGGTGGAGGTTGCAGTGAGCCGAGATCAGGCCACTACACTCCAGCCTGGGCAACAGAGCGAGAGACTGTCCCAGAAAAAAAAATAAAGCATCACTACTATATTTTATAATAAAGTATGGTTAACACTGTTGCCAAAAACACATTTTCTTTACAATTTATATTCTTCCTCATTAAATATTGCCCAAATACTTATATATCCTACTGCTGATCACCAAAATTTTATAGTCTTATCTTGCAAATACAGTACGTATACAATAAAACAGTTGGAAAACATATAGAGATTGACCACAAATAAGGCCCACAAGGTACTGCTGTGTAGTGTATCTACCATCAGGTTAATCAGGCCAGTTGTTATATTTGACAGCAAGAAAAATATTAACTGTTTTCTGTTTAGAGCTGTGATTAAACAAAGACTGGGTTCCCTTCTTTCAGTTTCAGGGACTAGAGATTCTGAATGCTTTTTATTTGTAACAGGTGACTGGATAAGTTTCCAAGAACATGGTACTAGAGCGCCTTTAATTAGAAATTTGGCAAAACTCAAAATTACATCACCCAGTAATAAACTACTAAGAAGGATCAGACTAGAAGCAACTATCCAGATACAAAAGGCTAAATTTGCCATTCTTCGAGATACTGCTTCTACATTTACTTGAACTACATAAAGAGATATAAAGAGGCTAATAGCTGCCAGCAAAAGACAACAGGCTACTTTTATCAAGCCTTTGATATGTGATCTGTTCTTATGCACATATAACCCTGTTTGTACACCAGCCATGTGTATTGCCACATACCCCAAGGTAGAGATTATTCCTTCGCGGTTGGCATTTAACAGGCCAACCCGTGTGCCATTACCATCAGTACCATATAATATTAACGTCTTCAGTGGGGTAAAGTCAAGGGCTAGCTGGTATAATACAGTAATGCTGAGGGCAATAATCCAGGACTTATTTAGGGGAAAAATAATCAAAAGCAGTGGTGTTACCAATTTCACAACTATGATGGTAAAGAAAAAGTTCCAGTGAACTCCATACTCAGTTAAATGTTCCTGATAGCCTATTGATTTTATAGTGGCTAATCGTCCAATTCCTAGGAAGACCAAGGGCCAAACAGAGTACAATGAGTTTGTAAAGTAACACGATTTGGACCCTTCCATATATTTTCTCCTCCTGATCTCTAGACAAACCATTGCAGTCCCAAAAACAAAGCCACCTACTCCAAAATCCATTGCTCCTGTCCCATAGAGCTCAGTTTTGGCAAATCTTCTGGGAAAAAGTGGGAAGTCCACAGCCAAAATAGCAATAGCAGTAAATGCACTGGTAATTACACGGAAACAGGAGATAGCTGGAATGTATTCTGATTCTACACTGATGTTCAAGAATTTTTCAAGGATTTTCTGGAAAGGAACTCTGGCATAGCAAGTCCTCCTTCGGTATATTTGATAGAACAGCCCTGCCCCAAAGATAATTACAGTGAGAAGCTCAAGGAGAATAAATGAAGCCCAAATGGTCAAAGTGGCTACCATGGGAACTATTAGGACAACAAAGTCAATGAAGAATCTAGTTTTCCAGGTATGTGAAAAAGAACATATGTGCTGTGAGAAAATGATCAGGAATCCTCTGCACAGGATACAGAATGCAGGAAAGCACAATCCCTGGGTGATTTCCAGCACGGTGGTTCCATTGAGGTTACTGACAAAAGCTTCCTTCATCTGCTTTTGAGACATTTTTTTTCCTCCTGTGAAAACAAGAGCAAAGGAATGGATTTGTGAAAAGCAGCATTCTTGTATAATCAGCATACCTGGCTTAATTTTATTCTTATCCCTAGATTTCAGAGCAGAACTTTGGGCCCTAATGATTTCACCTAGGATTTGTGATTCCTCTTCCAAGGATTGTAGGAAGAAGCTTAACACTAATGCATTAGAATAGAACTGTCATACTCATAGTATGAAATTATTGGTTACAAAGCTTCAACTATTCCCAGGACAAGATAGACTTACAAAGTGAATTTGGGGCCGGGCGCATGGCTCACACCTGTAATCCCAGCACTTCAGGAGGCCGAGGTGGGAGGATCGCCTGAGGGCAGGACTTCCAGACCAGCCTGGCCAACATGGCGAAATCCCATCTCTACTAAAAATATAAAAATTAGCCTAGCGTGGTGGCAGCCGCGTGTAATTCCAGCTACTCAGGAGGCTGAGGCAGGAGAATCGCTTGAACCAGGAAGGCGGAGGTTGCAGTGAGCCAAGATCGCACCATTGCACTCCAGCCTAGGCAACAAGAGTGAAACTCCGTCTCAAAAAAAAAAAAAAAAAAAAAGCTGGGCGCAGTGGCTCAAGCCTGTAATCCCAGCACTTTGGGAGGCCGAGGCGGGTGGATCATGAGGTCAAGAGATCGAGACCATCCTGGTCAACATGGTGAAACCCCGTCTCTACTAAAAATACAAAAAATTAGCTGGGCATGGTGGTGCGTGCCTGTAATCCCAGCTACTCAGGAGGCTGAGGCAGGAGAATTCCCTGAACCCGGGAGGCGGAGGTTGCGGTGAGCCGAGATCGCGCCATTGCTCTCCAGCCTGGGTAACATGAGTGAAACTCCGTCTCAAAAAAAAAAAAAACAGAAATGAAAAAGAAAATAAAGCAAATTTGGTATATAAACCCTGAGAATGGCATCATAAGCAGACGGGAATTTCTATTATGGAGTACAGTATGTATCACGAAGAGTTTTTGATGAAAATTGAATATACTTTACTAATGAGTTTAAAGCAAATCCAAAAGCTAGCGGGCTACAAGTACATTTTGAAGCTGGGGGCCTTGATTCCAGTTCAGAGCCTCTCTAAATCTACTGCCTCCGTATAAAACGTGAGCCCTGCAGTGATTTCTGGATCCCCACCCAGGCTGGTCCTTCCCTTATTTACAGACAGCTGTTTTCAGGTTAGGGTGGAAGTAGGTACCATGGGTGTATTAAGAATAGATGTATAGCACACAGTAGTGTTAGTTGTTGTTTTATTAAGGTCTATAAAACACCTCTGAATGCCACACATCGTCTGAAAAGTGGCATACTGGAAGAACACATTTGTTGGTCAAACATGAAGCTAGAGCTTCTCACTTAACATGAACTGAATAAGTAAGTGAATGCATGCATGCATTATGGCCTATCTGGAACCTGCGACAATACCTCACAGTAACCGACTCAAATTAATTGACCTTTAAAAATAAAAAAGTCCGGCCGGGCGCGGTGGGTCAAGCCTGTAATCCCAGCACTGTGGGAGGCCGAGGCGGGTGGATCACGAGGTCAAGAGATCGAGACCATCCTGGTCAACATGGTGAAACCCCGTCTCTACTAAAAATACAAAAAATTAGCTGGGCATGGCGGCGCGTGCCTGTAATCCCAGCGACTCAGGAGGCTGGGGCAGGAGAATTGCCTGAACCCGGGAGGCGGAGGTTGCGGTGAGCCGAGATCGCGCCATTGTACTCCAGCCTGGGCAACAAGAGCGAAACTCCGTCTCAAAAAAATAAAAAATAAATAAATAAATAAATAAATAAAATTAAATTAAAAAAAATTAACAAGTCCTATCGGGGAGCAGTGGCGTATGCCTGTAATCCTAGCGCTTTGGGAGGAGAATCACTTGAGGCCAGGAGTTCGAAATCAGCCTAGGGAACATTGCGAGATTCCCTCTACAAAAGAAAAAAAAAGAAATTAAAAATTAGCTGGGCCCCCTGTAATCACAGCCACTCGCCAAGCTGAGGCGGGAGGGTCGCTGTAGCCCAGGGGGTGAGCCGAGACCGCGCCACTGCACTCCTACCTGGGTGACAGAGCGAGACTCCCGTCTTTTAAAAAAGAAAGTCTTTCCTGACAGACGCCCGATCTGGCCGCACTCTGCCCGTATACCTCATGTGCTCCAATGGTGCCTGCGACTCCGGCAGAGGGTCTATGTGGGCCGGGCCGCCGGACTCCCCCTGCACCCGCCAAACCACGCGGGCACCAACCGCTTCCGCCTCCCGAGAGGCGCTTCCGGCCGACGCGAGCAGCCTGCACTTCCGGGCCGGCAGATTCCGTGTCCCCGCCCGTAATGGCGCTTGTCCCCGTGTCCCTTGGGCTACCCACTCTTGTCCTTATGTCCTTTGGGCTGATACAGGTCAGATCCTCTCGGGCTGTATCCCTGACAGCAGCGCCTGGAGAGGAAACGGCGCGCCATGCACCTAACGGCGGCCCCTCAGACCCCTCGGCGAGGCCCTGTCAGGGTAAAGGGGTCGGCGGGACCAGCGCAAGGCTCTGCCGCGGCAACTTCTACAGAAAGACCCCCGGCCCTGGGAGCGCCCGAAGGCCCAGGAAAGAAGTGCTTCAGCGCTTCTTTCCCAGAACGTGGGAAGCTGCCGCTTTACCCTCATTTTACCCCAGGGTCGCAAAACATCTCAGCCTAGACTGAGCCCACGAGCCAGACCCAGCGACCCAACCGAGCCACGTGCGCCCCGCGCTGCGAGTGTGCGCCCCGCCCCTGGGGAGGAGCCAGCCGACCCCCGGCCACTCGGCCGGTGCCTCAGCCGACCGGGTGCGGTCCCAGCTTCCCCTCCTCCCTGTTCCCTCCTGCCCCTCCTCTTCTCTCCCCTCCCAGGTTCTTCCCGCCGACCGACCCGGCCCGTCCGCCTTTCCAGTCTGGCCGGGCGGGGGCCTGACGAACGGCGGCTCGGGCCGTGGGACCGGTGAGTGCCATCCCAAGCCCAGATCTGAAGCCCTCGCGACGCAAAAGGGGCAGAGGAGTCCAGTTTGCCCCGCAGAGCCGAGGGAGAAGAGGGCGTCTCCACCCCCCCCTTCCAAAGCGCTGTTTCCCTTCTTTCTTCCCCTTTCCGTTTGACCCTCTTGTGTCTCACGAGCGGGTAGCCCTGCTCTCGGGCCTTTCCTGGTCACCCTCCACCTTTCCACCTGGCCGGCAGGGGGCGACCCGGGTGGGAAGAGGGTCCCTACTAAACTCTCTGCCCAGCTCAGGACCCCGGGAGGAGGCGGCCGGTCCCAGGAGGCGTCAGGGCAGCCGCGCCCTTGGCTGGGGTCGTGTCCACCTTCCTGGGAAGGACATACTCTCCCCGTGCCAGGTGCTTCCGGAACGGCATCCCAGTGCTGGATTTAGTGGCACGTCGCCCGGACCAGGAATTCCCGGTTCCCGCCGGGAACCTGGGGGCGGAGCCACCTGGGCTCACGAGATCCTTACCCAGCCCTTCTCAGCGTCTGCCCTACCACTGTCCTTCATGACGAGAAAGAAACTGAGGCTGAGAAGGTGGAGGGACTGGTGGTCAGGTTACCACTTGCCTTGATTCGGTGTTCCATCTACTCATTACTGTCTCCCTTCTGCCCACAGTGGTCACACCCTTTCCAGAAATTCTTGGCTGGAAACTGCAAAACCGACTAGCGCAGGAGCTGGGAGAACTGGAGAAAACTGGCCTAATCTCACTTGACTCCAGCTGGGGGCTGATGCTGCATCATAATATTTGCAAAGCGCTCTCACAGGTATTAGCCCCTTTTATCCTTCATTTATCCCTATGAGGTCTGGATATTATTACTCCGTTTTTTAAACGAGGAAACAGGAAGGCTTAGAGAGTTCTTGGAATCTGTGGCAGGGGCCTTGGGCTCTGGATTCGAACCCCAAACCTGTTGTGCAGCCCCTCTGGACCTATTGCTTGAGATGAGCTCCCAGTTGAAAGAGCTTTGTTCTTTGGAGCCCTCTACATGGCTTTCCCTTGGATAGGAAAGTGTCCAGGGTCAGTGTGTTCAGCACAGTTCTGATGCCCCTTTCTGCCTGAATTATTCTTTTTCCAGCTTCTAAGGAAGTCCCTATTGCTGGGTTCTTTAAAGACGATGTATTAACGGCCTCAAGAAAGTCTCCATCAGGGTTAATCCGTTGCAGGCACGCCTCATCTCCTTGCTAGGCGTGGTGCCAAGGCCTGCAAAATTCCAAGTCTGAGGGTCACTTAACCATTCTTCAAAGATTGGCTTAGGCCCAGCCTCACAACACCCCACCTCCCAGATGGATTCAGCTTCCTGAAATCCTCACCTTCTTGAAGTTGACACTGTTCACCTGATTAGTGCTCCCAAATGGATCATCAACCCTTAGTCGTAGCGCTTACAGTGTTTATCCTCTGAGTGAATACTCATATTTGTACTTTGTGTGGTGCTGAGCAACGGTGAGTGTATGATGAAACTATATTGTTTGCTGAGAAGGATGGCAAGGAAAACCTGGCCGCCCCCACCCCCCAAAGTGGAAAACTGCTTGGGGCATTCTAAAGTAGCAAACAGTATATGTATATCATACACCGGTTAAAACAATTCTTTAAGCACGGGGTATGTGACCCTGCCCCCGTGGCTCCCTCTTGGAGAATACTTTGTAGTTTGTCCTTGATCAGTGGTAAGCAGGCATCAGCTGCCTATCTAGTTTATATTGGTTCTATGAGAAAACACAGAACACCTGTTTGTTAATAATAATCACCTGTTCAGAGAGAATAGCTATGTGGGTCAGCATCTGTTCGAGGGCCTCAGCCCAGAGTACTGTTAACCTCCTGAGGCTCTCAGCTCGGAAGGCTGTTGGCCCCCGAATATTCCCGTTTTGCTGTTTTATCTGAGTGTCTGCTTCTTAATGCCTTCAGCACCACCTGGGTGGGGGTCTCTACGGCCATGTTGGTCTTGGTGGTGTGGTGCTGTCAAACCATGACCTCACTGACCTTCACAACCACTCCTTATGAGGCAGATTTAACTGTCCCCATTTTCAAGGTAAGAAATTGAGTTGGGTGATGTGGCTGACCCAGAATCACACACCCAGTAAGTGGTTGAACTATGATTTCCTTACCATACCACACCTTTCCTGGAGCAGCAAGAGATGACTCCAGTTTCCCCTCCCTACCAACAACTGGCTACACTGCAATAGGATATTTCTGTCTAGAGGATAGGGCACAAGGCTTCTCTGTCTCCCCAGTGTCTTGCTCCTCTTCCATAGCATACAGACCCAGAGGATTTGCAGCCCCACCCCAAACCCTAACCCTGTAATAAAACTGGCCCAGGCTCTCATAAAAGTTTCTCCTGTCTCCTAATTGGCAAGAGAAAGGACACTCATTCTCTGCCCGGGCCTGCCTTGGTTCTCATTTTGGTTGCTCCTGCTTGGTGGGAAGAATAGGAGTGAGTGAGTCACCCCAGAAAAGCCCTCACCTATATGTCGTCCTTGTCTTCTCCCTCATGCCGCAGGCTCTGGAGTGACTTATCTGAGATTCCTCCAGTACTGAGCCCTTTGTTGGCACCATACCCCAGCCCATGGTCCCATGACTAGGTGGATAGTACTCCTTGTACCTCCTGCAACCCAGAACCCTGGCTGACCACATTGAAGGAGGATGCTCCAGCAGGTAATACCTCAACCTTCGATAACCCAGGCCCTCAAGCACCTGCAGCATCTTTTGCTAGCCCTAACCTGGAAGGAAGGGAGAGCCCCCTTAAAGGTCTTTCTTTTCTCTCCTCAAATTGTTTCTCCAGTGCTTTTTACTCATCACGAAGCTCTTGCTGATACCAAATTTCGACCTGCCTTGTGGTTTTTAGCTCCTTTCTTTGAGATAGGTAAGATGGGATGGGTAAAGGAATCCTTAGGCCACTTTGGGGATTCTACAGAGGAAGTCGTGAGAGATGTTCCAGCCATCTGAATTGTTGAGACATAGTAGAAGCCTGGGGCTTGCAAGAGCATGTGTTCCTTGAAGCTCAGCCTTAACAAGAAAGAATTAGGCATATGGAGAAGGAAAATAAGCACTCCAGGAAAAGAGGTCAGCCTGTACAAAAACGTAGAAGACTATCTATGGGAAATATAGAAGGATTCTGAATAGTGGGTCATGGGGTGCATGATCCTCACATCTCTGCCTCTCTGAAAAGGCTACTGTTGCCCCAGGCCTGTAGGATTCCAAATTGCCCTTTACGGTGCAGCTCTATCCCATACCCATATCATCCTTCATGTGTAGCTTCTGGTCCAGAGAGAGTGCCAGTACGTATTTGCTGAATTTTATTTTACTAAGTGTTGCCAGGCACTGGGCTGAGGCAGATGATAAAGATGATACTTGCCCTCAGGGAACTCAGTCTAGTGGAGTCTTGGGTAGGTAAGTGCCTGAGACTCAGCAAGGTAGCAGCCAGGTGTGGGGCCTGCCAGCTTCAAGGGAGCCATGGTAGACACTGCCACTTGACCTTCCAGCCACATGGCTCTGGGAACAGGTTTGAAGGTGAGAAGCAGGCTAAACAGTTGACTGCTCTGAGCTTTATTGCTTATTTTTTTAACTTTGTTTCCTCTTAATAAAAAAGCAGTAATGTTCACCATAACCATACTAGCAGCTGCTCTGTGTTGAGCCCTTATTATATAATAGGCATTGTAGTAAGCATTTATATGTGTGATTTTGTATAATCCTCACAGCCTCCACCTGAGAAAGATAGTCCTCTGTGTGTATATATATATTGAGGTGTGTGTGTGTATATCTATCTAGATATACATACAGTGCTGTTACTTCCACATTTTGGAGATAAGACTCCAAGAGGTTAAGTGGTTTATTCAATATCACATTATCAGAAATTTGGAAAATACACTGGGCCACCACACAATATGCAATATGCTCTAAAAGCAGCTCTTCTAATTCGGCAATAATATGTGAAGGGCCTTAAAACTACGCATACCCCTTAAGCCTGCAATCCTGCTTCTCAAAAGTGATCCTGCATAAAGGCCATAAGAATGTCAGTGTATATAAAACCATTTACACTTGTAAAAGAATTGGAAAGGCCACAATGTCTAAATAGTAGACTGCTTATAGTATATCAGTATAATGGAATAAAGCAAGTTACACAAAAGTGTAATACTTTTCAGTGTTTTTAAAATATGTATTTAGGGGGGAAATTTATGATATTCTCTAAAATGTTGGTTATTTCTGGGTGGTATGCTATTGGATTTTCATGCTCCTTTTGCTTATCTCTATTTTCCACTTTTTTT